GAGACGGTGCTGCTCACTGAACCTGGAGCTTACCATTATAGCTAGATTGGCTGGTCAGTGAGCCCCAGGGATCTGCTGGCTTCTGCCTCCCCAGTACTAGGGTCACAAAGGCACACTGCTATACCTGGCTTTTATGCAGGTGCTGGAGATCTGAATGCCTGTCCTTGCTTGAGCAGCAAGCACTTTACCCACGACCCAACTCTCCAGCTCATCAATGACCCCTGCTTGGTCTAACTATGAGTTGGCTCAACTTGAGATCTACTGGGTGTGGCTAAGTTTATGCTCAGATTTCAACCTATTAGATTTGTTCTAATCCATCATCATAGATTCTGTTATATGTCCTGCACTGTGTACTTAACTGTTTACATAACTCACTGAAGTCTATTTTAGAACACATTACTTTCCCCTTAAGTCTTTCTTTCTTTGCCTCCTGGTTGCCATGGTGAGCACCTTGTTCTGCCATGCCTTCCTGCCCTGATGCACCACCATCATTGGAAGCCCAGAGCAATGGGACTCCTTCCCTGACATTACAACATCAACCAAAATAAACTTATCTCCCTATAAGCTGTCTCAGATTTATGGTGATATGAAGCTATTGCAAAACTTAGTGAGAATACATATTCCTTTTCTCCTGTTACCCCCAAATGAGGAAAAGTCTATTCCATACACATGTATTTCACTAACAGCAAACTGCATTCATATTAAACCCATCTTCCCATCAGGATCTCAAAGTTTTCAATAGTCATTCCATAGTTAACAATAAACAGGGAGATAACGTGGATAGAGTACCCAAGCTTTGCCAGTTTACAAGAATATTTGACCGCATGAAACATTTAATTCACTACTCTCAGCCATCTTATAAGGATCTTACAGAACTCAAGTAGTTAGAAGGTCAAGCCTCACAAACTCCAAGGCACTTCGTGTCTGTAGTGGGGCACCAGAGCCAATGAGAAGCATAAAACTTGACTCACTGATACTTCTGTTTTTCTCTTATGACTTTCAGGCTTCTAGACACATCTATTCAATACATTTTATTTGCTTGGCTTAGAAGATGAGAATACTTTCAAAGTTCTGCAAGGTGCTATGCAGGCTGTTGGGGAGAAAAGCTATCAATGGCCTTACGCCAATTTGTTGGTCAAGATGTGTCCACTGGTGTAACAGTGATGTCACTCTCACTCTCAGATTGGACTTGAGGCCTGCTCCACAAGAGGGGCAGTATACCTGATATGATAACCCTAGTTGAAAACCTGCATCTGAGAGGTCTTGGGCATATGAGGGAACTTACTACTGTTGTTTAGCTAATTTGATACAGGGTCAAACTGTGTTCTAAAATTTATGTTCATATTCATAGATAAATATGACTCTTATCTTTAGTCAAAGAAGCTTCTCGTTGCGGTGAATGGTGGTAAATGCAGACTTGCACCTGCCCGAGGTGCTGAGAGTAGGTGATTGTTGGAGTTCTTAGCCTTAAAAAGGACGTTTATGATTCCCTCTAAGGCTCAGGGAACATTACAGAAAGACAGAATGTAAGAGCCAAAAATAGGGAGAAGGGCTAGAAAATGCTTTCTTCAGGGCATGTCACAGCCTGGCAAGCATGATCTCACAGCAGCCATGACTATCTGCACTGGACCTGCACAATCCTGGGACTGTCAACAGCCAGTCATGGATTGGGGAGAGACTCAAAAACCTTTACCCCTCCTTGTTACACTTTTGGATAGCAGTGAATTCCGAAAGAGGGACAGTTGGCTGTGTCATAAAAGGGGAGCCTACCAGATTCCAGTAGACAGTTAAAACCTGTGATCCCACAAATGGTCTTGGCTAAAACCATGAGTCACAAAGGGGCACAAAGAGGCAAGCTGTGAGAAAAGGACTTTTAGGGAGGAGGGTTTCTGACAGGATGGTAGGGAGATCAGAGGGTGAAAGGTGAGGGTAAAAAGAATACATTATGGTTGTATATAATGTTCCAAAAGAATAAATTTAATCAATTAAGAAAAGAAAGATCTGCTGTGGTGGATGAACTTGGCTTTGCTTCCATGGGGTGATCCCTGTGGATTAGCATGGGGATGGAGGTCCTGCCTCAATCCTTGGTGACAATATTCCTTTAAACTGACAATATTTGACACCAAATCTATTTTATCTTTCTATAGGTTGTTGGACATTAAGCATGGAGTTGCTACTAGTATTTCAGGACATCATGGTCACATTATTCAATAATTAATAAAGAGAAATACAGACATGACATATTTAAAATATTTTGCATCAAGAGGGGAGAGCAAAGCTTTGGCTATTCAAAAGAAATCTACTTGCATTCCATAAACTAGAAAAAAACTAGTTAGGGAACACCTTGGTTCTGAATGAGGAGATCACATTCTACAACAGCTCAAGATAAGATTTTTTTTCCAAATGAAAGTGATCTGTGAGAGTAAAACATACCTTAAAATGCTAAAAAGCAGATATTAATGTTATAGAACATTTCAAGAATGAATTAAACAATGAACTTGAAAGTGACTTCAGAATTGAGAAGAAATTAGAAACAAAGTCAAAACACAAAAGAATGGTTACCAAACATAGAAGGTAATTCATTAGCACCCAACACCCAGAAGAAGAAAAATTCCAAAGCCAATGTCCCAGGTACGACAGATGGTCTGGTGAAAGGTGACTGTCTTGTTCTGATCAGCACTGCACATGACTTATTTAAGGTTCATGTGAAGCTGAACTTCAGGCTCTGGAGGTGGTGGGGGAGTGAGCTAAGATTTTGAAAGCTGTTGGCCTTACTTTTGTGTGTGAAAATGATACAATTTTAGGGGGTGGGGTAGAAGGTCATACAATCACTGAATGTTGTGTCTATCCAAACCTCACATGCTAAAATCTAAACCAATGTGATGACATACAGTTGTGGAATCTCTTGGAGGTGATTAGATAATGAACAGAGTTCCTCTGAGTGCATTCAGAGCCCAAATGAAAGAGAGCAGAGGGTGAGTGGCCCCCCTTTGCCTTCCACCCCTCAGGGACATACAGGAGCCTCCATCTCTGAAGGGTGAGCCCTCACCAGACACTTCATCTTTCTGTGACCTAACCTTTGACTTCCCAGGCTCAAGAACTATAAGCATCAAAGATCTGTGCCTTATGAAGTACATGTCTCAGGCATTTTGTTGTAGCAACTTGAACATACCAAAGCAATGTCTTCTGGCTTCATCCTTAAAACAGCCAAACAGGAGACAACAGCTACCAAGTCTTTCCAGAAAAGGAACTGATTAAGAGACACAACAAAGAGTCATATAGATATTCTCATGTTTGTAACAATTTATTAGATAGATCAGATGACTATTGTAACATGAATTTGCTAAATGGTTTTATTAATAATAAAAAAGAAACCCAGAGCTGGTTATTGGGGTAAAAAACTGAGAGATCAGAGGAACAGAACAAGTCAAGCAATGGGTTCTTACCACTAGGAAATCCTCAGCCCAAGAGAAAGCTACTTCCTGTATACTCATGCCTGTATACCTTTCTGTGCCCTGCCATCTTACTTCCTCTCTCCACCCAGCTACATCACATCCTCTTTCTGCCCAGCTCTATCACTTCCTGTCTGTCTGTACAGCCCTCCAGACTTCTATGGTAACTAGTGCTGGGATTAAAGGCATATGCTACCAGGTCTAGCTCTGTTCCCAGTGTGGTCTTGAACTCACAGAGATTCGGATGGATCTCTGCCTCCCGAATGTTAGGATTAAAGGCGTGTGCTACCACTGTCTGACCTCTATGTTTAATATAGTGGCTGGCTTTTTCCTCTGATCCCCAGATAAACTTTATTGGGGTACACAAATAAAATATCACCATGGACTGCCCCCCCAAAAACCCTGCCCAAATAAACTGTTCAAGGCCTCATAAATATAGTCAAATAAGGAATGCATATGTGAAAACAAGAATAAATAAAATTATATGAATTTTCTCTGCTAGGCTTTCGGCTACATGATTATGAGTTTCCAATATTTGTGCAGCTTCATAATTTTATATATTGTTACATTTTTTTCTGTTAATTTTGCAATGACATCTTGAAAATATTGTTTTTTCATATGACTGATTAGATTATGAGATACTGAATATAAACTACTCAGAAAGTAGGATTTTTTTCACTTGAGTTTTATTGATTGGAGTGAGTGTGCTTAAACACACAAGTGTGAATTTATCAACAGAATGAGGCTTTCTTTTAAACAAAGAAAAAAAATTTTCTGTTCCATTAAAGTAAATGAAATAGTTGTCTAGATGAATGATACTTATTATATACCTAAATTATAGGTACATCTAGATAAATTGGCACAGTTATATTAAAAATAATTTTAATATATACCAAGGAAATGCTATCTTTAAACTTTTTAAAAAGACTTGTTTATTTTATTTAATGTGTATGATTGTTTTGCTTGCAGGTATATGTGTGTACCCTGTACGTGCCTAGTACCTGTAGCAATCAGAAGAGAACATTTGACTCCCTGGATCTAGAGTTACAGACAGACGCGAGCTACCTTGTAGGTGCTGAGAAGTGAACCCAGACTCTCTGAAAAAGAAGCAAGTGCTCTTAGCCACTCAGCCATATTTCTAGCTCTGACAATGTTATTTCCACATGAGTAAGAATAACCCAGCATTGCCTTTGATGTCCCTTCCCCAGGGACTAGTTTTCCTAGTACCAGAGGTACCACACACACTTATAAAGGAGGGAGGCAACCTAAAGTCCTCCTCAGCTAGGATGTCTATGAACCACATTAGTGACCATCGTAGCCCTGGAACCTTCAGGGTGCAGTTGTGGCACTCATACCTTGGTGGTAACCAATAGCTTTCCAATTGGACTTAAGGCCTCCTCAACAAGAGGGAAACCATGCCTGGTACTAGAAACCTAGCTAACTACTGAGGGCCAGTGAAATCTTTGGTCTTGGAGGAGAATCGCCGTTACTTTATTAAACCAGCCTAGTTCTTAACAATAATCTAAACATTTGTCCTTATGCCCACAGATAAGTAGAGTCTTCCCCTCTCATCAAGGAAACTTCTCTTTGCAACATATGGAGACCTTTACAGAAAACCGTAGCCCATCAAAATGCAGAGTTGTGGATCCTAGTCCCAGTGAGCACATCTACAAAACATCTCCTGTGCCTAGAGTTGAGGGAACGCTGGAGAAGAGGGGGAAGGAAGACTGTGAGAGCCAGAGGGTCAGGGATTGGCTGTGAGGTTTTGTCACCTAGTAGTGGCTACACCCATAAATCCCCCCAACATGACTTCAGTGTTAGATGAACCTGCATGACACCAACGACCAGGTCAAAGTGAACAGAGAAAAGTCCGTGAGGACTGAGCTCCACACAAAGAACTACAAGCAACTAAGGAATGCTGGGAGCGGGAGAGTTGGAGCACACCAATGGGCTGTCCAATGGCAAATGGTCAGCCTGGAAACATAGATACAAGTGACATTATACGAACTGAGCAGATTACATTTGAGAGTATGTGTATGTATCTACACACACATATATATGTGCAATCACAATCAGTGAAAAAGGTGGCCATGGATTTGAAGGAGAGTAGGAAGAGGTATATGGAAGTCTCGGAAGGAGGAAAGGGAGGAAGAAAATGTTGTAATTACATTATAATCTCAAAAAAGGAAAAAAAGAATAATAAATCTTCATATCTACAATTGAAGTTTTGCATATATGCAAGTATGTGCATTTGTATGTGTGGCTGCATGTGTGGGGACATGTATGTAGAGTCCAGAAGACTACCTTAGCTGTTGTTCTTCAGACATTGTCTGCCTTAATTTTTTGAGGCAGAGTCTGTCAGTGATCTGGAAATTGCCAAGTAAGCAAAATTGGCTGCTACTTCAATCATCCCTCTGCCTTGGTCTCCCCAGTGCCGGCCTTAGAGGGGTGTGCCAGCATATACAGCCTTCTACACATGGTTTCTGGGCCTTTAATCCGGGTCCTCATACTTGTAAGGCAGACAGTTTATTACCTGAGCTTTCTTTCCAGGCCCCTAAATCACATTTAACATGTATTGTTAAATAATACAAGTCATTGTACCTTATATTTAAATTTGGGAGAATAAGAAACCACAATTTTATCCAAATTTTATGCCCTAATTTGTTATTAGAGCTAAACGATTTCGTGAGGAACTAAATTGGGAATTAACGTAACTGTTGGCTTTAAATCTGTTATTTCAAAATACAAAAATAAATTCAGGCTTCTTCTCAAAACATTAGCTACTGAATTAGTGAGTTGTTGCAATACAATTTAAAAGTTAACCGATTTCACAGTTACCAAATACAAGGTCACTCATTGTTCGTCAGCAAAGCATCAAGTTGAAAGTGTGTACTGCTGAAGCTTCAGCTCATCAAGCAGGTTTGGATGGCTTTGTTCCCACCCATTGGTCCCTTCACGTGACTATACGGAAACACAAAGGGTGACCTACCCGATCCTCAGAGTGAACTTTCTGGCCAACTCTATAGTTCACAGGAGGAGGAGAAGCAAATGGCTAGAGCACGGGGTGCTCTCTGGCAGCAGTTAAATCTTCTCTACGTAAGCAAAAACATACTAAAAATGCCTTAGCCTGTTCTTTTCAGTTTTTCCTTTTCCATAGAAAAGTATAACTCAGGAGGATTTGCCTATTTTTAGACTGAAACCTGCTGTCACAGGAAGTGATTCATCTGACCCGTCCCTGGTATCCACAGGGTCCTCTGGCTCCTCCAGCCTCACTGTGCCCACTGCCCCTTCAATATCTACCCAGACCTCAGAAACATCCTCACTAAAATCAGATCACAGCAAAGCCACAAACCCCAAAGCAAGCAATGATAGGAAACTTTGCTGAAAATGCAATGCCAGCCTTAATTGCCATCGTGTGTTTTTAGGTTCAAGGATTCTGGCAGGTCATTCTTCTTTTTTTTTCCAAATTAATTCTGGATCATAAGCTTCTTCTATTAGTTGGTTTGTGCACGTACCACATTGCTGAGAGAATGACAAGAAATAGGAGCCATGGAATCTTACATGTCTGTCTAAAGTCTCCCAGACCCATTGTAGAACCCAGAAAACTTCAGATCATCCAGACCCAGTTTAGTTAGCTGAGTAGAGCAAAAGCAAACCAGGGAATTTTCTAAGCACTGCCCAGCCATACTTCACTAAAGGAAGAGTCATGTTTGCCTTTTATAAAAAGGCAGGGCCAAAAGACCAATATTCACTGGCTCTCCTTCCATCCAAAACTTTCCCCACAATTCTCTGCCAACTCATGAGCTGAAGTTTCAATTTTTTTTTCTTGCATGGCTGTTTTTCAAATACAGAAAAATTATGTGGGGCAATTCTCAATGGTCTTTTTGGGCCATGCACCTCCCTTTAGTTTATAATCTCCCCTTAGATCTGTGACCATGGGCGTTCAGAAGAGCTCAGGAACCAGCCCTGCTGCTACTAAAGCCATGCCCCACTATAGTGTCACTTCTGAGGCAAACAAGCAAACAAAACCACATGGAAAGAATGCTATAGTTGTTGATAGCTCTTTGGGGCCTTCATATTGTATATAGAAGACGTAGAGGGAAGACCACACTCTTACATGCAGGCATTCATAACTTCCATCATCAAATCTTGTCTGTTAAACTTGCTGGAAAGAAACTGACTGTACAGGCTGCTCCTCTAAGTGGACGGACACCCACCTCCTCGACTCCCAACTTCAAGATGGTTTGTGTCTGCCTCCCCATTAATAGGGCACAGGTGGGATCTGAGGCAGAGAGGGTGGCTCTGCACCCCAGCCTCCTTCCCTATGGCCCCCAGGACCCCGACAGTGACACCGACTTTGAGATAATCTGGTTCTCTCTTCTCATTTTGTTAATGGGAGACTGTGAGGCTCTGAGAAGCTGAGTGACTCTCCCGGGGTCTCTCAGCCGGTCTGGAACCGAGAGAGTGAAACGAGAGTCTAGGTTTTTCCATGCTTGGCAGCTGCAGATATTCCTGGAGGCTGACCATGTCTTTGAGTCAGAAACGTTCTGAACAGCAATCGGATCATTACTGTTTGTTCTCTGTGTCATTACATTACAGTTTCTAGCTAAGTCCCTAAGAAGTTTATAAAAGTGGCCCAGAGTCTCTAAGAATCACAAATGATTATACATGTTCAAGAGCATGCCTAGCTGAATCCAAGGAGGGTCACAAAGCGAGAGCACATAAAACTCCTGAACATGTACCATCCTGAGGCTCCGGTAGGCTGGGATCCTGAACATGCACCATCCTGAGGCTCCGGTAGGCTGGGATCCATGCCTACCTTCTTCAGGGTTTAGAGTAATACCCATATGTCCAAGATACTTCCCAATACTGGTGCAAAAAATCTTTTTAAATTAAGTATTAACTTTTCAGAATTAGCAGCAACTTGTATTAAAAAATGTCTCTGGTTACTTTGTGCATCTCACACCGATTTCGAGTGAATGTCCCCAACTCTGGGTCTCATGACTTCATCTTCCTTTCACTGGCTCAGCCGACTAATCACTTCTCTCATGGCTGAGAATCAATTGTATCCATTGTTCTGTTTTGGTGAATTAATTATAAAATTCTTACAGGTACACAGAAAGGCAACTGTAAGTATATAACTTCCTTGGAATTTTCTCAAAAATCAATTGGCTTTTAATGAAGGACACAAAAAACCACAGCAGAATGTGTCCCCATCACTAAGAACATCATAATCTCTCTAAAAGAAAGCATGCACATTAACAAACTAGTTCTGCAAAGGTCAAGTGAGCAGCCTGTACACTAACTGTTGGAAGAGTTCAGAGGAGAGAGGACACGGATATTCCAATAGTTTGGAAAGGTTTCATGGGAGAGACAGGATTTAGGTGAGGACAGACAGAGTGGATGTGAGTCAGAATAGAAGGAAAGAATGCTTGCTTTGGGGACTAAGGATATAGCTTAAAGGTTGAGCATTGGTCCAGCTGTACATGAGGCCATATTTGATACTTAGCACTACAAATCAAGTACATTTTTGAGTTAGGGCTACAAACTGACCAAGTATCATTGATCTTGTTTGGATCTTGAGTGTCTCTGGGGGACCATGTGTTAAAGGCTTGGTCTCCAGCTTGGTGTCATTGGGAGGTGGTGGAGTCCTTAAGGGGTTGGACCCAGTGTGTGATTGTGACCAGTCTTAAACCCAAAGGGGGAGTGGCATCCAATGTGGGCTGTGGGATTCAGTCTCTGCTTTTCATTGACTTCCCTGAGCTTGGTGGCTGTGTGCCACCAAATGCTCCTATCATTGTATGCTGTCTTGCTCCAAGCTGCAAACAGAGCTAATTAATGATGGTCTGAATTTTGGAAGTTGTCAGTCAAAATAGACCTTTCTTCTTTGTAACTGATTGTCTCCGATATCCCTTCCAGCAAGCAAAAGCTGGCTAATAGAGGCACTGGGTACAAAATGAACAGTAAACAGAACTATGGGGAGGGACAGGACTTATGCTTTGGATTTGAGAAATTCTGTTTGGACAAGAAGCGCTAGCTAATTTGTGTGTCTGTGGAGGGGTGTGGAGAAATGTAGAGAGGTGTGAATATGCCTGTGCAGTGTATGTGCACATGTGTGATGTGTGTAGTACATGTGCACACATGTGTAGGATGTGTGTGTGTGTGTGTGTGTGTGTGTGTGTGTGTGTGTGTGTGTGTGTAAGCCAGAACAGGGTGCTGGGTGTCCTGCTTTGCCACCCTTACCCTTGCTTCCTTCAGATGGAATCCTGTACTGATCTTGGTCTCACTGTTTCAGGCAGACTGGCAGGCCATACATTAGAGGGATCTATCTGCATCTGCCTGCCACAGTGCTGGGTCATTGGTGCATTCACAAACAAGCTGAGCCCTTTACATGCGTGATTTGAAAACTCAGACCCTATGCTTGTGCAGCAAGCCATCTTACCTACTGGGCTCGCTCCTTAGCCCAGACTTATAACTTTATAAAGATAATGTATATGTATCTTATGTGTGGTGGCATTGTGTTCCCTGAATATTGTGCATGCTAATAAACTTATCTGGGGTCAGAGAACAGGACAGCCACAATATTAAACATAGAGGATAGGCAGTGGTAGCACACGCCTTTAATCCTAGCATTCCAGAGGCAGAAATCCATCTGGATCTCTGTGAGTTCAAGGAAACAGCCAGACATGGTGACTCATGCCTTCAATCCCAGAAAGTGAGCCTTTAATCCCAGGGAGTGATGGCAGAAAGCAAAAAGTTATATAATGCGTGAAAACCAGGAACCCGAATTAGTTAAGCTTTTGGCTGGTTAAGCTTTTAGGCTTTGAGCAGCACAGTTCAGCTGAGATCCATTTGGATAAGGACTCAGAGGCTTCCAGTCTGAGGAAACAGGATCACCTGAGGAATTGGTGAGGTGAGGCAGCTGTGGCTTGTCCTGCTTCTCTGATCTTCCAGCATTAACCCCAATAACTGGCCTCAGGTTTGATTTTATTAATAAGACCTTTAAGATTCATGCAACACTTATGTATATAAAATATTACCTTATTATGCAATATGCAATACAATTATATCTTACTAGCTAAAATAATATATAATGTACTATAGTATCAGATTTATTTTCCTTTCCTTTGTTCTACCTTCTTCCTTCCCTCCCTCCTTCCCTCCTCTTTTCCTTTCTCCCTCCCTCTGCCCTTCCTTCCCTTCCTCCCTCTCCCTTTCT